GTGTGTGTGTGTGTGTGTGTGTGTGTGTGTGTGTGTGTGTGTGTGTGTGTGTGTGTGTGTGTGTTTTCAATAAACAAACAGTACATTACACCTACCTGGAGCCCATAATCAATTTCCTTTTGGTCAAACACATAGTGAACAAGCGAGGCTTCACCCCGCAGCAGAATTTCATAGGTGGGGCCTCCCTCTACTTCACAGAGTGCTTTGACACAAGCAACAATGTTGGCATGGCCGTAGAAAGTAAATGACATTTGCTGGGTCTCGTTTGGCTGCAATGTTCCATATAGTGGCAGGATGTCAAAAACCTGATTGAGCAAGGAAGGAAGAGTCACTGCTCCATTGCACGGTGCCCCAGGATTGCTAGCTCTGCTGCCCATAAGTGGACAATGCTGGATTTAAGCCTCCCATTCCCTCCAGAGTTTTGAGTTTCCTAACTTATTGCTGTTTGAACAAATGGGCATTGAACAAAAACAAAACAAAATCAAGTAGCAGCACAAGCATTTTTTCCCCTCTGAGAGATGGCACTAACAGAGAAACAGAGAAAGACAGATAACATGGCAAGAATAATGAACATTTGTGGGCTTCTTGATGCTCTCTGAGCTTAATGGTTTTCCTTCAGAGTTTTCAAACCCAGGGAGCACCAAGGACCACAGTTCAACCTCAAGCTACAAATACTCTACGATAATGCCATTTTCCCAGTCCTCAATTATTGGTCCACTAATTATCCTACTGTAAAAGTAATGCTAAATGTGTGCAAGCAACAGTTCTCATAAAAGATGGCCCAAAGTCTATGAACTTTGCTTCTCTATGGTATCCCCATTGACCTTGAGGGTGCTCTTCTCATGGAATGGCAGAAGACTGCAAAGGAAGGAATGGCTATAAAAATAAGGTGGATTTTGTTTCTCGGACTATAGTTTTCTGGAGTGCTTCAGCCCTTACAAGAACTTGCAGCAATGTATTTGGCAAAAAAAATATTGACAGGAAAATCAGAAATAACACTGGGTAAGAACATTCTGGATTCCAGCACAGAACAGGGGGTTTGACTCAAGGGCATTTTTCCATATTTTGATTCTTTCTGGGCAAAGCTCAAGAACTCCTAATAAACTTCTACATTTTTCAATACAAGGGCAATAAACCCTACCTTGCCTCTGGACTTATTCAGATCGTGAGCAGAAACCCAAGATTGAAACAAGAGCCTCTGGCCAGCTGGGAAAGGTCTGGAAGGCTCCCTGATCCAGCCCCAAGGAGAAGAATGGACCCTGCCTGAGAAAACCTCTTGAGGAAGACCCGCCTCAGTCCTGGGTCCCCATCCTCATCTGCAGAGTGACAGGGGGGCTTACTTCTTCCACGCCTGTCAAGTGTGGTTCCTCTGACTCTGTACACCACAGGACTTCTTGGATTCCTGCCTGGTTCTTCTCTGGAGCCTCCTGGTCTACTTCAGAAGTTTGCAAAAATAACTAGAAAACAAAGCACACATGATGTCCATCAAAAAAAGAATCCAACACAGAAAAGACAAACTCCCTTGCATACAGGATGTGTTTAGCTCACAAAATCTCTCAGCTTGGAGGCTTTCAAAAACTATACTAAAGACAATTTATCCACAGTTCATCACTGACAAGACATAAATGATGCAAAAATGGGACAGGATGTAAAGACTATTAAATTTCTGGATTACTCCACTACATCCAAAAGAACATAGAGGGCTCAGACTGAAAAGTCACCTAACATCCATGTGCTGTTGTCCAGTTGTCCAGGAATAGCTGGTTCCTGTCACCACAGAATTTCACTCAAAAGAACCATTTGCTTTCTTTAAGACGCTTATGCATTGGTCAGTATTCCAGTGGAAAGGGACAAGGCTCACTTCAAAGGACAAGGTTCACATCGATCATGATGAGAATTGTGAACATTACAGCCCAAACAGCAGGGCAATCTCATCTCTGATGAACTGAACAATTTCCTAGATCTGCATCAATGAAGATGACTTGTCATCAATTCTGATCTCTTTATTTATGACCTTTCCCCTCAAAAAAACCCAAAGTCTAAACTTGGCTTAGGTGCTCCTGGGCAGCCAGTGCAGAAGGTTTAGCAGAGCAGCAACCCACCCAGAGTTGACATCTTCTGCAGCAGCTGCAGCTTTAAATGAAATACACATAAAGGGTCTCACAGTAATCTCAACTGGAGGTGTAATTAGGACAAGCCCTAAATGAAGAGAACCAGGCTTCCCAAGGCCAAAGGTAGGACTTTTAGGAGTCAGTTTCCAAACTGAGCCACTAATAGATCTCTCCCAGACCCACCCCCTTGTAAGCACTGAGGCCTCCCCCCTCCAATGCCTTCATTGGAGGGCAAGAGATCAGAGGACGGAGACACAGGCAATTGCTAAACTATGCCAATAAACAAGCGAATATGGCAGGATAGAGGAGCTGAGTGGAACCAGTTCTGGCAGGCCTCTAGAAAGCTGACTGGCCCTTGCCATGCCCTGTAGTTTCCACCAACAGGACTCTTCCGGTGGCCATGATGCACCTTTTCCCCCCCTAAAAGAGGGTGAAAATTTGGGTGCATCTTATACACTGAATGTAGCCCCACCCATCCACCGGCCCCCACCCTTTGGCCTCTGCCTCCCAGCAATTTACCTCTTTGCAGCAAGGGGGGGGGGGAGGCTTGTAGAGGCTTCAATAAGCTATAGCAATCCCTGCAGCCTGTAACAGCTGGTGATAGGGAGAAATTAAAAGTGAAACTTGCTGTTTGCTCCAGTGGCAAATTGCTGGGAGACAGATTTTTTTTCTTGTGTTAATCAGACTGTTTGCTGCAAAGAGGCAAGTCAAAAATTAGAAATGCCTATAGAATGTTCAAATTATTAGACTTATTTTTTAAAGACTGTGTTATTACTATTCTAGACAATTTAACAAAATAAAGAAGCTTTTTAAAATAAATGCTTGATCTGAAAAAGGCCCAGTGCTATTGTTTTAAAAAGTGCTATTCTTTTAAATAGCAGAGAATAACCATACTTCCGGAAAGCACATCAATTTTAACAGCATCTGTACAAGTATAGTCTGAAATATAACACTACAAACAGTGTATATTGTCTCTACTGTTTGTTGCAAGGAGGCAAATTGCTG